TTTCACACATGCTGCGTAACTTTCAGACTTAGGTCACTCAAAGTTAGGTCATCAGGTTACGTCCAAGTGACCTTACCTTAGGAAAAGTTATAATGCCCGTCATAGCTACGCAGACTAAACAATCGGTATAAAGCGTGCAGCGATTGATAAGAGCAACAGTATATACGTAGAGTACCTCTACCTCGGAATTTCAATCAGTGGCGGCGGAACATCTTCAATTAAAGGGGGACACTGCCGACTTTTGGTCCCATTCTTTCCATGCAACGCCCATAGGGCGTTGCATGGAAAGGGCTATGTTAAAATGCCAAAATCAAAGGGGGGCACGGTGCCCCGGTGCCCCCTCGTTCCGCCGCCTATGATTTCAATATCACTTGCTTCCTCAATGCTCATTGCTCAGCTCGTATTTTAAGAGCACTGCGACACAGCATAGATGCAGGCGCTTTGCTACTGCCATCTATGGGTGAAAGATGAAGATAATGGTTATTGCGGTACAGTATTACTGCAGGTGCAAACAACGTACATAGATAACAAAGATGCCTATGCTGCGCTGGCCGGCGATTGAGGCGTAAATTTGCGTTGCTGGGTAGCAAAAGGTTTAGGAACCCGAATTTGACAAAATAAATGATTTGCCGTGCTGGTGGTCTGAGGTCGCAAAATCAACAGAACCCTAGGTCAGTGATATTGAAATTTCGAGGTAGAGGTAGGTACTCTACGTATATACTGTTGATCTTATCAATTGCTGCACGTTTTAAGCCGATTGTATAGTCTGTGAAGCTATGACGGGCATTATAATTTTTCTAAGGTAAGGCCACTTGGACGTAACCTGGTGACCTAACCTTGAGCGACCTAACTCTGAAAGTTATGCAGCATTTGTGAAAAAGATGTATGAAGAGGTGTGCCGAAAACGGCGGCGCTACACGACGCCGTTTTCGAGATATTTACATAAATCCACATTGGGTGTCCGATCATCCCCACCGCCCGGCGCGGATAATTTTTTGCACGTGCAGAGCGCACCTTTGGGGCCACCAGGAGATGGATATGCTCAATAACTATGCTGGAATACATTCTGGGTGGCCTGTGTAAATTTGGCACTTTGAGCTTGCCAGCGCTACCCGCCCTACCCGCATATGTGACACCTGGAGTGCAACATCAAAAGGTTTGCACGTGCACAGCACGTGCAACGTGTACCACAGCACGCCTATTTGTACAGCACCTTAAAGCGCGTGTCCAGCAGTGTCAGTGTACCAAATTTGGTGTGCCTAGTTCAAGGTTTTCCGGAATCGTAGGATGCCTCCTCAAAACATGTTTTTCGCCACTAGCGCGTGCATTCCGCACCCCCTGATGCCGAGCATACCATATGTTAGTGGTCGAACACTGGGACATGTGGCGTGTGAGTTTGGCACTTGTGCCACCCTTCGTTTGATTTGAAGCGTCGCTTAAAGGTTTTTGCCCTTTGTAAGTTTGTCGGCACCTGGCACGCGCCATGTGACACCGGGTGACATGTGACATCCATCATCACCTGCCTCAAGGAATTACCCGTCGAACGGTACCACCAGCATCTCGATCCGATCATCCGTTTGGACGCAATTCTAATTGTATTGGCTCGATGACCTTCCAGAGCACGGTTTTTTGGCAACGTAAAATGGCGCCTTGTCGGCTTCACTATCTTCCATAGGAGGTCCATTGGGATTGTCAGTCCAGTTTATTTATACGTCCGTGGCTAAAACGCGTGCTTTTTCGAAAAACATACTTGGAGCCATAGTCCTTTTGAAAAAAAAACGAACTATAGTTGGCTTGAAGTGCATATTCCCACGAGTTGGAGGTAATCTTACTGGACTTGAGACGATAAAAATGTCTTAAATGCTTGAAAGCCAAAAATGTCAAGCAGCATTTAGGTAATAACGACAATAAAATGCGTAAGACGGTGTGTATTGAAACGCCCGGTCCCATCGGCTTGTATGACCTTTTCAATGGTCATTTACTCAAAATGGTACAGCAGTTTGACAATATGTCATACATATTTGGTAGGCTTATTTCTTCTTCTCCGAATTTCGCTCGATTTTCTTCATCTTAGTTAATTGTTACGGCACGTGCCAAGTGCCAACTTAGGGGTGTCGAAATTGTTCCACATAAAATAACTCCGCAATGGCTTGTCCCATTACAGTAAAACTTCGTTAATAGTTAGGCACCCAGTGGCCAATGCATTTCCATGTGTCACTATAAGGGTGCTACTGCACGTGCGCACGTGCGGGGTGCCGCTTCCATATCTCAAGAACGGCTGGGCGGATAACACTCAAACTTTGTACACAAATGTTACATCGATGCTCGCACTGCATTGATCAGTGCTTACATTGGTGCAGAGTCGTAAAGAAAACGAGGAAATGAGATGCGTGGTGTTTATGCCTTTCTGTTCCAGCAGCTGATTGATCCGCAACAGGAGATCCTTGTTTGTAAAGGCTACGTCTCCCTTTTCCACCCCTTGTTTAAAATAACATTAACAATGTACGTACGACGAAGATCACACATCAAAGTTGTTTTAGGCGTCTATCTTGGACCAGGGCTGCGGAATTGTAGTCAGAGCCAGCGGTTCAGTTTCGACTCGGAGTCGGTTGATTTTTAAAAGCTGTAGTCGGAGTATGAGTCGAACGTCACCGAAAAGTCATCGACTTCACAGACTTACCAGGGCTGCAGAGTCGGAGTCAGAGTCGGAGTCTGTGTGAATCGCAGTTCTGCCCGGAAGAGTCGGAGTCGATATCTGGATACCGGAATCGGAGTTGGAGCCAAAGTCACTGAAATTTCATCGACTACGCAGCACTGGTTGGGTCCTTTTCATAGAGCGTCTTGAATGACATATTGAGCGGCAATGACGTTAGCAATTCCGTTCAACCTTTTCATTAGACTTATAGATAAGTACTTAACGTTCGTTTTGTTCTTTGATCGGGCAATTTGTTTGATTTAGGCCAAGTAAAGACTCATGTGAAAAAATAGCGAAAACGACACGTGCTGGCGAAATCTTCAATATTTCCCTGTTTCACGATTTAATGAAGAAATAACATTGAACTGCTTATCTTATTACTGACGCTGCACATAAATCTATTAATTTCTTCGCTTTTACTGACATATACTGTCTGTCAAACTGTCTAGGCCGTTTCAAACTGCCTAGGCCGTTTTCATACGGCCTGATATTTCAGGCGGTTTGCAAACGGCCGGCTTTTTCAGGCCGTTTGCAAACGGACTGGGTTTTCATACGGCCTGTAACATATAGACGTAACCTTTTGAAAAATTGCACAACAAGCCCGCTACTACACCACACTCCCGTGTGTCACAATGCTAATCAGCGGCGCTCACTCGGCTTGCTCCTAACTTACGATAATTCTCTCGCTAGATGGCAAGCCTGAGCTCAATGTCGCCAAAAACTGCGAAGACACCAATCTATTATTATCTCATCCATGCCTTTACTATTTAACCCGCGAGTTGCTGGGGGGGGGGGCGTTAAACGCCCCCACTTTTTTCGCCGGGCCATAGCAGAAAAACGGCGCGCCGCAGGCGCGCCAAATTTTGGGTACCTGTAGGGAATTGATTGAAGTTTATTATGACAAAGTTTCAAAAAAATCGGTCGGAAAATTTTTTGAGATATCGAGGTTTTAGTGACGTCATGATTTTTGAGTTTTCGACCAAAAACGGCATATGTTCAAAAAATCATAAAATCACAGAATAGACATATACACATGCCGTAAACGCCATTAGACTGCCAATACCATGAACAATCAAATGGCTATCTTCGATTATTGATTATCGTTCCGCATTTTCCAAAATCTTGAACTGAATCTTGGCAATTTCTCGTGACTACTTCACGACCATGATACATGCATTTCTTAAATTGAGCTTTTTTTATCATATGTGTACGTGTTTGGCTAAAAAAGCCTTTTTTAGCCAAACACGTACACATATGATAAAATGAATGTCACCATCGTGTTCTACGCCCCAAATTACCCATAAAACATGTGTCACAGGCTGCGAAAATCAGTTTTGATTTTCGGGGGTATATGCCTACCTGGTTGACCTGACCTTGACCCTGACCTATGCTTGACTGACCCCTACATGGCGCTGACACTCTTGTAGGCCTTATATGATGGATTGTGCACCGTTTTGACAGAGTTTATGACGAGAGACGCCCATTGCGAGGTCCTGAAGTCCATGCTACTGAAAGCCCGATTTCAGGTGTTTGACCTGACCTTGACTCGACCTGTGACCTCAAAATTCAACTTTAAAGTACTCAACTGAAGCGTCTCGTCGCGTTCTTTCGTTTGCAGCCTCGTGCGTTTCGCTGCGCGGTGCGCCTATTGGTTCTCGAGTTATCGGCTGGGGGCGTTTAACGCCCCCCCCCCCCCAGCAAACGGTGGGTGGCGAAATACCCCAGCAACTGCCGGGTTAAAGTGTTCCTAGCCCTGCTCCCATTCGTGCCATTCCATTACGCTTAATCATAGTTGTCGTAAATGGCGCATGGTGACAAATATGGCGCATTGCGGCAAACGCGGCGCATCTGAACCTGTTGGTGGAGCATGCAGCCTGGCACCAAATTCTATCCTCATCGGACCGTATTTGACAAAACTGTGCGAGTTGCGGCAAAAATGGCGCGTTGTGACCAATGTGACGCATTGCGGCAAGCGCAGTTCATTTTTATACTTGCATAATAAACTGTGCCCATTGAATGAAAATCAACACATTCTTTGGCCATTATTTATCACAGTCAATTTCACCATCCGCCAATGCGAGGCACCCGCCGCCGATCGGCATGCATTTAGTTCACAAAGGTCGTCGACCCCGGCTCTCAATGAAGATTTAAGAACCGATCAAAATTTCATTGGCGTTCTTCCAGCGCGCGCCACGTGTCAACCGTGCACCCCAGTGAGTGGAAACCTAGAAAAGGCGTTGACCCATTGTGTCATATAGAAGGTGTGCAAATTTCAACCTCCTACCGCATACCGGCTGCCCTGCAGGCGAGGTTAATTGAACCTACTACACGGCGTGCGGACACACAGACAGACAGACTCACAGACGGATTCTGTTTTGAGAGCATCCACCACCTAGACGTCTTTAATTTGAAATTTATGCGTGGTTCACACCGGATCCGTAATGACCGTTACGTGCCGTAATGAATACGTCGGCGATTAAATAGTATCTTGAAAGTGGAGGGCACAATGCAACGCGCATGCGTAGTTTGATTTTTTGGCGACGTAACGCCGTATTCGTTACGGATTCGGTGTGCACCGGGAATTGCCATGTTGAGCGCCGTCCTTCGAATCAAGTGCGCCAAAACTATTTTGCTTATAAAGAATCGAAAAATGGGCTAAAGCTAAGAGCTGTTTCTTAATATCGGTGCGTCAGAATTTTAATTGGTTTTGCTCTCTTCTTTTTAAATTTATTCCTATCACTTTTGCATAGTGGTTTATAATTGTATGGAGGCATACCATTGTTAATTAACTACAATTGTGGGCATGATACTATACAGATAATCTTTTATCCTTTTTTGGCATAAACAAGAAAACATGCCTATGCTGGTCAACGCTGAAGTTCATTTTATACACTCGTGAATCGCTGCTATCCATGGGCAAGATCAACGTACGCATCGTACAGTTTGCTCAATTGGCTTGCGAAGAGGCGGTGCAGTGTCCGTCCAAGCATCAAGTCTAGCAGGGGCAATATGGGCAGCGAAGTTGACTCAGAACTGCATAAAAGACGTGGCATGAGAATCTATGTATTGGAATTTATTTTGTGGACTTTGAACTTGACCTGTAACATACCTATATGATTAGGGCTAGGCTAGGCCTACGAAGGAAATGTTATCTTTAAATAAACGAGTGAAATGTAATGACGGAACATGAATTTTATGTACGTCACTCAAGAGATACAAAGTAGGTTGTGACATACTGAAGGCATACCTACATGAAATAATGCCTAAAAATCAGTCGCGAGTTGATACGATTTTTTCAAGTAGAAAGGTCCGCACTTGCACACGAGCAGACCGCTACCCGCTACCCAGACCAGCCCAATCAATCGCAACATGTGAGAAGGGGTGGGCACGTGCGCATGTGCCGACCAATACTCTCGCTGACCTTTGCAATCTGCATACTTTATATGCTGGTGTCATTCAGCATACCAAAGTCCAAATGTGAGCGCTATTGGCCCAGCCGATCCCGAGATATGAAAAAGGGGTGCGTACGTGCGCACGTGCCGATCAATACCTTTGCCGACTTGTGAATTCTACATATAAGCATGTTATCATTCAGCATACTTGATATAAGCACTTTCGGCCCAGCCGATCCCCAGATATGAAAAAGGGGTGCGCACGTGCGCACGTGCAGATTAATGCTTTCGCTGACCTGTGCAATCTGCAAATAAACTTGGTGTCATTCAGCATACTTAATATGAGCGCTATCGGCCCAGCCGATCCCAAGATGCCAAAAAGGGGTACGCACGCGCGCACGTGCAGACCAATGCCTTTGCCGATCTGTTCAATCTTCATATGTACATGGTGTCATTCAGCACACCAAATATGAACGCGATCGGCCCAGCCGATCTTCAGATATGAAAAAGGGGCACGCACGTGCGCACGTGCAGATCAATGCTTTTGTCAACCTGTGCAACTTGCATATAAACATGATGTCATTCAGCATACCAAATATGGGCGCGATTGGCACAGCCAATCCCGAGATGTGAAAAAGGGGTGCGCACGTGCGCACGCGCTGAGGCAATTCGAAATCGTCCTAAGGTCACGGGATGTGTAGTGTGCACCCAGCCGAAACAACAAACAAATATTGAACCGTTTCCATTCAGCCGTTCCCGAGTTATGGTATGACGAGCTCTTTTGGAACCTCTCTCGTCGCACGTGACACGTGCTGTAACAGGCACTCATGAGTGATATCAATAGCACAGTTCAGGGTAGAAAGGATGCAGCCCCTCCCCAAAGAAGACCACTCATCAAACAGTCAAACCGTTTTGGAGATAAATGTCGATAAAAGTCATTACGGCGGCCGGTCGAGCCGAAAAGTTCAATTTTCCCAACTTCTGTTACGTTCCGTAACGAGTACGGTGGACGCTGCCAGTTTACGGCGACTGGTTGCCACATTTCAACTTCGTCTACAAAAGTCACAATGCTTGGGGAATCTTGAGAAATCTCTAGCTCATTACGTCCGTAACGGTTACGGCGTCATTACGGACCCGGTGTGAACCACGCATTAGCCTTTACACATATCAACAGAGGAAGGATTGAGCATTCCGAAAACTATAAATAATATGAATTACGAGGGCAGTGTAGCAAGATATGCGGCCTCATACCTTAGCTGGTCCGTCTTACCCCACCTTCGCCTACCATGTGCGTATAGGGGTCATACTAAGTACGGGTCAAGGTTAGGTCAGGTCACGAAAGGTCACGGTTTTCACTTTCTGCTACATGGGCGTGCGACACATGTTTTATGGCTTATTTTTCACGCCGAATCCGATGATAATGGTTATATGTGACCCCAAGTCACTGTGCTGGTGATAAATGTGCATTGAAAGCATAAAAAATCGTTTATACCATACATAACTAAACGAGGGCTGAGAAAAAAGGTCAATTTTTCAACTTTTTATTTTTGACATAAAAATGCACTTTTCTAGACGAGCTTTGTCCCAGGAATCTAGTGGTGCCATTTGTTTTCACATGCGATGTTCAGAAGTGCCTCTAATGCACGAAAATGCTTATGACGTCACCATGCCCTATGCATGTTGGAGCTATTTTTTACAATTTGGGGGTCAAAAATCAAGATAGAAAGTTGAAATTTGAGACATTTAATGTTCTAATAGAGCTCTATAACATATATTCCGGTTTTTGCGAAATTCTCAAAATTTTGAATTTTATTAGCTGTTTTCCAAAAAATGTAGTTTTTTAATTTTTAGGGGTGAAAAACGCATTTTATGGAAAATCCGAGATAGCCATTTTAAAGAACTCGTTGAGCTGCGTCTATGCATGTCCTTAATTTGCAATTTGCTTTAAACCCTGATTTTTGGCGATTTTTTAAACATTTACCACTTTTTGACTAAAAACGCCATGTAGTTACATCACTAAAATCGATATATCTAAAAAAATTGAAATATTTTTCTTAAAAATTACACAGAAGACGTTAAATTGATGGGGGAGAAGGTACGCCAAGTTTCAAGTTGATAGCGTAAGCCGTTCTTGAGTTATTCAAGAAAAACGGAGGGGGGGGGGTCGGATCCGACCCCCCCCAGGCGGTCGCGGGTTAGCCTGCCTATCACCAAAGAAACTGTAGCAATATGCTGCCAAATACAGTTATTTATGCACAAAAAAAATCGTGTACAAATGTATACAAGCGAGTTGAGACGCGAGACAGACAGCGATCCCGTGTATTGGACACGAGCGAAACGTACGAAAGTGGCCTATGTCCGGCTCCAACTGCCGCGCCCCGCCAGTGCCAGCTGACCGGCTGCCGGCGCACACTCGCCCGGGGGCACAACCAGCGGTCCCGGCGGCCAGTAGGGATGCAGAATCGGTAGAGATGCAGACATCATACCAACATAATAATCACAATCGCAAGCACCACGTCCTGAGGCTAGCCTGTGTCCTTTGGCTGAAAGTAATGCCACTTACTGCTTTGGTGACGCCCCAAGTATTCACGGCTACACTTATCTCAGTGTCAGTTTTCGTGCAAAACAATATCGTCGCTACCTACATCATCTGAAGTCGCCAAGGGACAGCTTAGGCACACGCCCAAGTTTCTTCAATGTTTCTCACTGCAACGTACAAACGAGCCTCAACACGTGGTCGGATGGACGGACGTCCAGACCAGCCAGCTATAGGTACTTGGCCGGCCGGATCAACAGTACACCTGCCCGGCGGCCGGCGGCCGGCGCCCCGATACCGCAGCCCGCAGCCCCAATACACACACACACACAGCTGCCGGCTCCGCTGGCACAGCGCCCCGACACACGGCTGCAGAAACCACACACAGCTGGCGGCACACACAGCTGCCGGCGCCGCTGGCACAGCGCCCCGACACACGGCTGCAGAAACCACACACAGCTGGCGGCACACACAGCTGCCGGCGCCGCTGGCACAGCGCCCCGACACACGGCTGCAGAAACCACACACAGCTGGCGGCACACACAGCTGCCGGCTCCGCTGGCACAGCGCCCCGACACACGGCTGCAGAAACCACACACAGCTGGCGGCACACACAGCTGCCGGCGCCGCTGGCACAGCGCCCCGACACACGGCTGCAGAAACCACACACAGCTGGCGGCACACACACTGCCGGCTCCGCTGGCACAGCGCCCCGACACACGGCTGCAGAAACCACACACAGCTGGCGGCACACACACTGCCGGCTCCGCTGGCACAGCGCCCCGACACACGGCTGCAGAAACCACACACAGCTGGCGGCACACACAGCTGCCGGCTCCGCTGGCACAGCGCCCCGACACACGGCTGCAGAAACCACACACAGCTGGCGGCACACACAGCTGCCGGCGCCGCTGGCACAGCGCCCCGACACACGGCTGCAGAAACCACACACAGCTGGCGGCACACACACTGCCGGCTCCGCTGGCACAGCGCCCCGACACACGGCTGCAGAAACCACACACAGCTGGCGGCACACACACTGCCGGCTCCGCTGGCACAGCGCCCCGACACACGGCTGCAGAAACCACACACAGCTGGCGGCACACACAGCTGCCGGCTCCGCTGGCACAGCGCCCCGACACACGGCTGCAGAAACCACACACAGCTGGCGGCACACACAGCTGCCGGCTCCGCTGGCACAGCGGCTCCGGTACCTCTGTTCCCTTCCGCGCTGGAAGCATGCACCAAGGTGTTGAGTTGACTGGCTGGCATTGTGGCCATTGTGCGCGCGGCGCGGCGTGTCACTGGTGCTACTCCTGCGGTGGCTGCCCAGTCACTGCGGTCACTGCTGGCGCTCCTTATATTGTCGCACTCGGCGCACCGAGACCCGGGCGCCACACCACCGCATGGCCGCCCAGCACGCCTCTATCTTCATTTGTCCAAGACAGATCGAGCGGATGGAGCTGGGCGAGCCTTTAAACTAGCGCACACCCAGGCCAGTCCTGCTGACCGGTGAGGGCTGCGGCCAGACCGTGTCCGACCCGGGTCGTCTGCCTGCCGGCCGGCGGCCGCTGTCCATGGGCTGGTGCTGAACGGCACCATAGGAGCCACCCGCGGCACTGCGCCGGCACCAGCCAGCTGGCCAGGTCACAGGTTGTTGACGCTGATGATCTGGTTGATCCAGCCGATGAAGGCGGAAACCTTCACGTACACACCGGGGACATCCTGTCGGCCGCATCCGAAACCCTGCCGATCAGGAGACGCAGTCAGCTCTCGGCTATTGGCAAGGCGGATAACTGAATGGTTCACAGATTGATTTATGTCAAGGATACTTGTGCCAATAAATACTGAATGGTAGGTACCTCAGAAACATTAACCCTCGCCCTGGCATCGACCTGAAGATAGCGTTAAAACAGCGGAGCGCAGCGCCGCCAAATTTAGCACAGCCTATGGGACAACCTTTTTACATATAAACTGAAAATTTCAGGTCCGGGTGACCTTGGGTCAGGTCACCAGGTCAGAAAAACCGGTACAAGGTCATGGTCAAATTTCAATTTTCTTTATGCACCTGTCCAACTCACAGTTTTGCACTGATTTCCTTCCAAGTTTCAGGATGTGCTAAGTTCACCGAGTTGTATAACATATAGTTCGTTTTTTATGGCACCGACCTGACCTCTTGCTCATATCTGAAGGAATTAAAAAATTAAAGACCAATATATATTCGGGCGTGGCCCTTCCCGTCTGCCTGAAAATAAACAAATATATATTGGTCTTTAATTTTTTAATTCCTTCAGATATGAGCAAGAGGTTATTTTTCATACTCCTGATAATATTATCAACAATGCTCAACGCACTGACCTGAGGTCAGTTAGAGGTCATTACGTCGTAATGTTAAGCCTAGGGGAAAATATTCAATTCGGAAAATACTGGAGATATCCGCTTCGTTCCATCACGTTGGTGCTTTGAAACCACAGTAAGTACTTAACCGATTATGTCACTTGGTGCTTCTTTGTTTGATGTACTTATCCATGGGTCAGGTCAAATGAGGTCAACTGAGGTCAAATGAGGTTTGTGCCAACAACTTGTCACATAATAAAGATATACAGCTTTCAAAATGGTATCAATCTGTTTCTCTTGAACAGCCGAGTCGAATGATATGCAACATTAAGCATTTCGACTTAAGATATACTTAAGATATGCTTAACTTTTTAAGTACACTTAAGCAAGCACAAAAGTATATCATTCGACGCGCCTTGACGTGTTCAGTTCACTGGTGCTTTTGTTTTTGCTCTATCTTAGTTAGATCAAAAGTGATAAGCGAAAAACTTTTTACCCGTTTTAGCAAAAAATTTACGTTCACACCCCCAAACCACCCCAAATATTGACCTAAAGCAACCAAATTTGCACAAAGGCGAGAACTCTAGGGGGCCCACATACCTACCAAATTTGGTGTTTCTAGGTGCCATAGGAGCCAATCGCGAGGAGATGTTATGAAAAATGTTATGAAAAAGGCCGTGTTATGAAAAATGCCCTGGCGAGGGTAAAGGTGGGCATAAAATACGGTTGAGTAAAAAAGGGCTTCATGTATGCGAGCTAAACGCTTTATGGAACGCCACTGATAAATCACTGTTGTAACGTGAATAGCGAGAAATGAAGTATCTCTTGGCTGCTGAATGCTTACCCAGCTGACCATGCCGGAGAGCTCGTAATAGCCGTCTACGTTGCAGACCAGTGGCCCTCCGCCGTCACCCTGCCGAAAAGTAACAGTGCATCATTGTGTCGTCGTCCAGTGCATTATCGTCCGTTCACCGTTGACCGGCCGATACCGACCGACCGCGCAGCAGACCTTCCCATGACCCCTATCCCGGCGCCCCAGGTCACCAAAGCCACAGGTATAGGTACGGGCGGCGCCACCGGGGCAGACGGGGGGGGGGGGAGGGAAATGGTCCCCGCTATCAAAAGTTAGCGGGGTACAGTACCCCGCTATCGTTGAGGTTCGTTCAATAGTTGATAACTGGCGTTATCTTTAGTTAACACCGTAACGCTGTCGGCATCGTGTGCTCCGTTCATCAGTGTTGGCTGTTTATCGGCCGCCCGTCTCTCTCGCTCTCCAGTGTATCCCATTTACCTTACTGGCGATACAAGGAGAGAAAGAAACGAGCGACGAGGGAGATGGTGGAACTAGAAAAGGGATACACGAATAGAAAAGGGGGCAAAGCTGGTCGGATGGGGTGAGTGGCGGAAACCCGCTTCGGCGGAGCCGCCGCGCCGCCCGGAGCCGCCAGCCCGCACTGAGGCTCGCTCCCCTCGCGCTCGCCCGTCCACCGGCCGCGCTACGACCCCTCCGGCGCGGTCAGGTCAAGGTCACCGAACACCGGCCCGTACAGTGCGGCCCCGTCATAGGCTTACGGGCGCGCGAGAGCAATGATGCTACGTTACCGTTAACGGGCATTTACGAGCGAGCACAAAGCGAATCTATTTCATCATAACGGAGAAAACTTAGTATGAGCGGCCCGGCACGGCCTACAACGCTTATGAGAGACATATCTCAGCAACCGCTGGGCCCATTGACGAGCGGTCTCTTGTTGGGAAACCCCATCCCTTCTAGCCTGTCATTAGTTCTGTTTACATAGGGCTAGTTGCCAGATAGTGGAATTTCCTATAACGGAGGGTTCCCGAGAAATACGCCATGGCCAATATCATGGACGCAACTCGGAGTGCAGACGAAAATATGCACATAGGTTGAAATTCGTAAATTACATGATTTCAGTTAGTTTTTTTTGTGTTACATAAAAACACGTGATCACATGCTCAGAAAATCTATCCATTGCGACTTCCGAGGCAAATTTGCTTTCCCTCTTGGGATAATGCCATTTTTATTAGCTCTTCTTTGTTTAGCGTATGACTGGTGTTCGTGCAAAATAAGCAATTTTACCTATTTCCTTCATCAGGTTTGGTAATTGAAACAGCTACCAAAGTACTGTCATTTTTTCAAACCTGTTTTTGGCACACCTGTTTGTGCATCTTTTCTGCACATGTTGTGAAAATTTCAGACCCAGGTAGCTCAAGGTCAGGTCACCAGGTCACGCCAAGTGACCTCACCTCAGACAAAATTAGAATGCTAGTCATAGCTACACCGACTGAACGATTGCCTTACAACTTTCAGCGATTAATAAGAGTAACAGTATCTATAAAACGTATGTTTCGGAATTTTGATATCAGTGACCTAAGGTCAGGTCAATTTTGCGGCCTCTCCATTAACCCGCGCACCGACTGCGCCAACTTAGAACCGACAGGGGGGGGGGGGGGGGGCGGATGACCGCCCCCCCCCCCCTGAGATCTCGAGAACGAAGCAAGATAGCGACAAGCGGTAAACGGCATGGGGTACGCACGGACAAGGTCTATAATTTTTACAAAGGTCATTTTCAGGTCAGGTCAAAGATGACGTCACAATGGTCAAAAAGTCAAAATGGCGGCGCTAGATATGGAGAGAGGTTTTCTCGAATAACTTTCGAATTAGTCAAGATAGGCACAAACTAAGGGCATCGTCGTGATCCTCCGTCAATCTGCATCGAAAAATATATATGTTGACCTCGAAAGGTCAAGGTCAAAGGTTGACCTCAGGTCACGTGACCTCGAGGTCATCATGTATATCATTTGATGCGCCTTGACGAGCTGAACACAATGAGACCATCCGCGCGGCTGTATCTTGTTCCTGTACGGAGTTATTGGCAAACAACCTTTGGTGACCTTTGATGACGTCACATGACCTTACAGCTGCCCAACAGCAAAACAGACCCCAAGGTAGTGAAGGTTGATCGTATATGAAGTCATGTATAGCATATGGGGCCATTCCGACCCGTTTTAGTTGTAAAAACAGGGAGTTGATTTTTCCCCCATTGACTTATAATGGGGAGGTCGAGAAATTGACCTGACCTTAGGTCATCGATATCAAAATTCCGAGATATACAAATTGTAGCTACTAATGACCTTATAACATCCTGCGACTTTCAAAGGTCTCCAACATCTACTGTAGCTCTGGCATGGTGACAAAGTTGCAAAAAAGTGACTTGAGGTTGGGTCATTCAAAGTGACCTGGTGACCTGACCTTAAAAGTTAGGGGGTTCAAACTTGCACACCATGTGTAAAATTGATGTGAGAATAGTCGTACCAAGTTTCGCGGCGCTACGCGACACAGTTTTCCCGCTATCTACGAAAACCTCAGGGGGGGGGGCGGATATCCGCCCCCCCTCCCGAGCTTTTTCGCGAATAGCGGGAAAACCGCGGCGCGTAGCGCCGCGAAATTTGGTACGATTATTCCCTCATCAATTTTACACATGGTGTGCAAGTTTGAACCTCCTACCTTTCAAGCTCAGGTCACCAGGTCACTTTGAATGACCCAACCTCAAGTCACTTTTTTGCAACTTTGTCACCGTGCCAGAGCTACAGTAGATGTCGGAGGCTTTTGAAAGTCGCAGGATGTTATTAGGTCATTTGTAGCTACAATTTGTATATCTCGGAATTTTGATATCGGTGACCTAAGGTCAGGTCAATTTCGCGACCTCCCCATTATAAGTCAATGGGGGAAAAATCAACTCCCTGTTTTTACCACTAAAACGGGTCGGAATGGCCCCATATACCATACATGATTTCATATACGATCAACCTTCACTACCTTGAGGTCTGTTTTGCTGTTGGGCAGCTGTGAGGTCATGTGACGTCATCAAATGTCACCAAAGGTTTTTGGCCAATAACTCCGTACAGGAACAAGATACAGACGCGTGGATGGTCGCATTGTGTTCAGCTCGTCAAGACGCATATCGAATGATATACATGATGACCTCGAGGTCACGTGACCTGAGGTCAACCTTTGACCTTGACCTTTCGAGGTCAACATATATATCATTCGATGCGGATTGACGAGAGGATCACGATGATGCCCTTGGTTTGTTCCTATTTTGACTAATTCGAAAGTTATTCGAGAAAAACTCCATCTAGCGAAAGAAAATCTCTCCATATCTAGCGCCGCCATTTTGACTTTTTCGACCCCTGTGACGTCATCTTTGACCTGACCTGAAAATGACCTTTGTAAAAATTGTAGATCTTGACCGTGCGTATCCGATGCCGTTTACCGCTTGTCGCTATCTTGCTTCGTTCTCGAGATCTCAGGGGGGGGCGGATGACCGCCCCCCCCCGTCGGTGCGAAGTTGGCGCAGACCCCCGTCGGTGCGCGGGTTAAGCCAATGGGAGAAAATTGAAAAGCGTCTCTTTTGCACGAACGCCATTCTAGACACTCTCAAACATCGGGATCCAGGTAAAATTGACAGACTGAACCGGAAAATGGCACCTGTGACCCCTCGATATGTCCCCGAGGTCATCTTAGGTCACGAATACCTAGTATCTTACAGTTTTTCGCTAATAACTTCTGATGATGATGATGATGATGAAAACGCCTTAGATATGTTCGGCTCGCCGATGCGGATCGACTGATATGCAACATGACCTTTCCGGTCAGTTCATGACCTTGACCTAAGGTCACATTTTCAAGTTGATCTTTCAGGGTCAAATTATAGTTCATCCGAAGCGTCTCGACGAGAGGAACATGATGCTGACAAAAGTAATGTCGTGGCCCTTTCGAGTCAAAAGTTATTGCCGAAAAAACACTGTTCGTAAAAACGGCTATTTTTGTAGATTTTGCCCTCTGGAGGCTAAACCGTTGACCTGAGGAGGTCAAAGTTGAAGACATGTAGGCGAAAGAGCGTTAAAAGAGCTATCGAATGCGCCTTTTTACGGCGATGTAACTCTATCGGTTCCCGAGTTAGCCGTTGGCGTTTCCAAAATAATCAAATAGCCAACATTTTATCTTTGGTGACCTCTGGTGACCTGACCCAAAAAATGACTGAAGTGTTTTCGTCCTTATTTTGGACGTTCTTTCGATTGCCGCTTACTGCGTGTCGTTACGTGGCCCAAGAGCCGAGTTAGAAGGGGGTGGTGGTGTTCAGACACCTCCCGGCCCGGCGCGGAAGTCTCGGAGCACCAGCCCGGCGCGAGTGAACGTCCGCCAAAGGGTGAGCTTTGCTGAAATTTTGACTAGTATTAAAAATTGTGGGCTGGTTTGTGTTACGTTCATTTTGGTTATCATTTGTTAGTTGTGTGCTGTCATTTTCGATTTTGTTCACGTTGTTTTTATGGCGTTTTGTTTTCAGTTCATTTTGGTACGTTTCAGACATGGAAGTTGGATATGGGAAGGCCTTACTCGGGAATAACAGGGTTACTTCTGACCCGTGACAATATCCTAGAACGATAAGATAAGGGTAAGACAGATTTTGCAATCCCGATCGACTCAGCTGACTTATTCAATAAATGAGTATGACTTCTGATGTAGGACGATGATTTTTCTATCTACACTCGGTTCGATCAGTGCGCGCTGGCACGCGCCCGGCCCGGGGAGGCTGGCCGCCCGCGCTGGCTCACCTGGCACGCGTCGTGTCCCTGCTCGCCGCCCGCACAGAAGCTGGACGCCGGCAGGATGAATATCTTCTCGGTGACGGCGTTGATTTTGCGCACACACTCGTTGTCGGAGACTATGGGCAGCTCAGCGGCCCTGACGCGCAGCGGAATGGGACCCGCTGCCGGACAAACCGGGCAAACTGCTGTCAACACCGCGAACGGACCATACCAGCATTGCCAAACGGACCATACTCACCCACTGAACCACACATTTTTACGCCCACTTTAGGCGGAAGAGCACACCTTTCAGCAAAAGTGCAAGCGAGTTCGACAGTACGTAAGAGCTGCCGTCCCTTATGGGTCCACCATTAGAATCTATGTTTTTGAATGTCTTTATCGCCATAGGCGTAGGAACGTTTTCGAAAGTGTGGGGGAGGGGGCAGGGTCCCAGAGGTCCAAAACCTAACCTACCCCCAAAATCCAATTTCTCCTCGGATTTCGGCCACTTTGTTTTCGCAAACATGCTCAGAGATAAAAAAAATCGAGACAAAAACAAAAACAAAAGTGGTTAAAATTTCAGGGAGACTCCCGTCCATAAACTCACACTGATGGACGCGTTCCCCTGTCCTCTGCAGCCGTTGGCACCCATGCAAATTCCAGAGGCATCCAGCAACTTTTTCATTACGAGCAAGCGTGAAATGTGCAAAGCGAGTCTTTTCAATATACCTATAAAAATCAGCATGACGGCCCAGCTAGGCTCAGCCAGACCTATAACGTTTTTAGAGGTTTTATATCAGCGACCACTGCAACTGGGCTGATTGACTATCAGAGGCCGGTGTGGGACTTTTAGAGGTCGGTCTTCTGGGCCCTCAGAGGCCAGTTTAACCCTCGACGGCCCGGACCTATAGGTTTTCTACATACGCGCCGGCCGAGGGGGCGGGGGGCGGGTACGCCCCCCCCCTCGCCCTTTCGCCCCAGGTGGAGCTAGCGCGTCGCGGAAAAATGAGCGTGTGCGCCGTTACAAGACGCAGTGATCGGTACCCGATTTTAAGGTCCTAGGTCAACCGGTGACCTCTGAGGACAGGTCAAGTGCCTCAAGGCACGGTTCCGTTTTTGGTGAATAACTTCGCAAAAAACGGCCGCAGAGCCGCGATTTTCAGCCAGCATCGTGTTCGCCTCTCTCAGGCGCGTCGAATGATAGGTATAGGTACTTTTTGTTTGGGTGAGGTAAACTGAGGGTGTTGACCTCGGGTCACAGATCTGGATCTGTGGAATGTGGAGATTTCCGTCGCCTGAACAAAATCACAACTCCCTCCGTCCAGGTCATTCCCAGAATGGACACCTCTGACCCCCATTTGGCCGTTTGACTAGCACTAGCGGAGAGCATAGGCGGCGGAACGGGGAGGGCACCGGGGCACCGTGCCCTCCTTTGATTTTGGCATTTTAACATTAGCCCTATGGGCGTTGCATGGAAAAATATGGGACCAAAAGTAGGCAGTGCCCCCCTTTGATTGAAGGTGTTCCGCCGCTTCTGCTCAAGAGGACGGGCACAGAGAAGCGCACCGATGTCAAGTGCTTCGGGTGTGGTGGTCGGCAGTCGGCACTTCCGCCGCCAGTCAGTCCGGAGAACGCCGTGGGACAGCAGTCAGCGCCAGCCACATTCTCAGACTGTCCACAAATAGAGGCGCTGCCTTGCACAGAAGTGTCGGTTGATGGTACTCGAGTTCTCGCACTCGTTATTTTTGATCATCGGAATGCCGCGGGGTAACTGGTTATAAACAACTGAAAAGTGATAGCGCGGATTTTAGAGTTCAGTTAACTTTCCGGAGTCGGAGTCGAGGCAGCTGGACCGACTCCGACTCCGACTCCTGGCTGCTTGCCACGACTCCGGCCGACTCCGACTCCGACTCCGACTCCGAAACCCTGGCCGACTCAGAAGAGGACACCAAATGCCCTCGTACGGATAATTTTTGGCTTTCATTCATCCCGAAACAACTTTGCCAGCTTCACTTGTCTCCAGTATGAGGTCCCGCTGCGACCTCTCCGCGGTGCTGACACCGACTGAAGCGGCATAAACCCATCGCGGTCACGGCCAGTGGGCGAAGTTGAACACGGCGTAACGTGATTGGCCAGCGCTCCTATCCAATCCGGTGCGGTCGCGAGCGAGCCTCTATCCGGGTGCAAAAACTGATTAACATTACGAGCCAACGACAAGTGCTCTAAATTTTGATATTTTGTTAACCCGCGCCCTGGTGGGGTCTGTTTATAACGCGACCTGGTGGGGGGGGGCTATTTTTTGCCCCCCCCCCCTCGTATCTCCGAAACTACTGGACGGATCCGCAAAATTCAAACGGCGTTCGAAAGGCCTGTCAAATTTGTCGAAGGAAACCAAATTTCATTGACCTCGGGGTCACCGATGACGTCACAGGCCAGGTCAAAGATGAAATGTTTCACCGTTCACGGGGCTTCTAGGGAATGCGCTATAACACCGAGGAAAACGCATTTTGTCGAGAATCAGCGGTAGGGCGTCAGTTGCCTAGTAGATATGTTGCTATTAGAGGTCACTGGCAATACCAGGTCAGGTCACAGGTCAGGTCACCAAGGGTCACAGGTCAGGTCACATGAGCCCAACTTTACTAAGGTTGTGTGATACATGTTTTATGGCCAATTTTTCATTTCCAACTCCATGGTGTTGGTTATAAGACTATCAGGTACGGCTTAGGTCAGTTTCTGGTGAAGTTCAGGTCAAGGTCAGGTCAAGGTCAGGCCAAAAAAGGTCAAATTTTAAAGTTGATAGTTTTGCATAAAATGGGTATTGATTCGATGCAGCTCGTCACGGGGAGTCTAATGGTGGTCTTTGTTTTGCGCTACGGGGTCTAGAATTGCTAAAAATTGCGTTTAAAAATTTGACGTCATCAATTTTGAACAGTTTTTTCGCTATAACTTCGCCAAAAAAGAGGTATCAATCTCAAATTTGGTATGTAATGGAAGGCGGTAAGGACTATCACATATATTCCGGTTTTTGCGAAATTCAAAAAACTTTTTGGATTTTTCGATTATTATATCCAAAAAATCTATTTTTTGATTTTTGGGGGTCAAAATCCAAAAATTTCAACAATCCGAGATAGCAGTTTTGTAGCCCTGTCCAATCTACAGCTTTTATGTCTTTATCATTTTTCTGTATTTGCAAAGCTATAGGCCTGACAGCTCTTCCCGCGAAACCCTTTTTTGGGTCGAAAACGGCAGAACATGACGTCACTCTGACGTCATTTCCGGCCAACCTATCATAGCCTTTGGAAAAAAATTTGGTCACAATGTGTAAAATTGATGTCCGGGAGGGTACTGAAAGTTTGGTGACGATCGGCGCAGCGGTTCTGGAGATATATCGAAAAGTCTGGAGGGGGGGGGGGGGCAAAAAATAGCCCCCCCCCCACCAGGTCGCGGGTTAAGAGACCATATTGACACAAATTGGCGTTTGAGCTGAAATATCGTCTGCTAAAATTTCAAGCCAATTGGACAAAAATTGAAGAAATTATCGCCGAAAAACAGGGTCTCATGGGGTCTGAAATGCATAGTAAGTGTTTTCGTCCTTATTTTGGACGTTCTTTCGATTGCCGCTTACCGCGTGTCGCTACGTGGCCCAGGAGCCGAGTTAGAAGGGGAGGGGGGCGTTCAGACACCCCCCCCCCGGCCCGGCACGAAAGTCTCGGAGCACCGGCCCGGCGCGGGTTAACATGTTATCCGAGGCCTTGTCACAGCCTCTTTTCTAGATTATTTGTCATGAACCACTACCTTCTGTGTCCTGTCTTGAAGAAAGGTACGTGAGTTGGCTGAGAGAAAGAACAAGGATGAAGGTGCGGGCAAAAGATGTGCTGGCGCCCTTTCGGCGTTAAGGGGGGCATGGCCCCGTTGCCCCCCCCCCCGGGGCTCCGCCCTTGGTCATCACCAGCGTTTTGTTTGCTCCCACGTCTTTGTTTTGTCTATTTGGCGTTGTATTCCTCTTTAACGAGACTCTCGTCTCTCAGCTGTCATTATTTAACAGCTTACATTTCCTAAGTACGCTACTGCTAGGAATCTACTACCTTGGTGAACTGGGGCCCTAGTCGGGTACTGAGCTGGCCTGCACTGGAAGTCGCACTCCTGCACTTACTCTCGCAGTGGTACCCATGTCCTGCACTTACTCTCGCAGTGGTACCCATACCCTGCCACTTACTCTCGCAGTGGTACCCAATACCCTGCCACTTATTCTCGCAGTGGCACCCATTAATGCACTAATGTATTCTGGCAGTGGTACCCATATGCTGCACTTACTCTCGCCCTGGTAGCCATATCCTGAGACGGTGCAGCGGCTGCCGGCCGGCTGTTCGACGCCGCGCGCCGGCAGACACACCAAGCACACGCCCTCCTTCAGCTCCACCTGCAACAGCACCGTCCGCTCACCGTCAGCTCAGCACCGTCAGCTCAGCACCGCCGCCGCCACCGTCTACCTCCAAACCATACCTACAGTGCTATCAGGCAGCGTCAACGCGCGACATTAAACGATAAAGAAGCAGCAGAAATGACAAAGTTAGTACCGTAAGGTGGTGCTATTTATTTGATACGATATTTACAGCTTTAGGCTTCTTTCTTAAAGGGACCCTCCCACCTTAACATTAGTTTTGAGTTGAGATAGCCAAGTTTGCGGCCAGGCTCAGAAACCACCATTTATCCTGGTCGCAACCCCCGCAGCTTTATGGTGTTCAAGAAATTTCTTCCCTTTACTTGCAGGGTGGGACCAGCGTGGTCCCTATCTCTTAACCATTACGGGAATCTGATGACGTCATCAGGCTTTCGAACGTCCGTTAAATGTTTGACTAAAACGTTTTGTAGCACGCGGTGGTATATGCTGCTTTGCGCGCAACAAATGCCGCACTTTCAAATAAAGTCGCTAGGAACAGCGGAGATCCCAAAAAGTAAACAAAAGTAAAAGTCTAATATCTTGAAAACCGGTGAATATTTTTCGATGAAATTTGGTAGATATTCGTTTTTGCTCTTTCTGAACCGAGCGACATCACTTTCATGCCAATTCATTAACTTTTTTGAAGGTGGGAGGGTCCCTTTAACCCGCGCCCCGCTGGGGGGGGGGGGGCAGAATCTGCCCCCTCCCCTTGTCGCCAATAACTTCTAAACGCGTGACGCCAGTGACGTCAAACTTTCAGTACCTTATTATACATCAATTTAACACGTTGCCTGAAAATTTGAGCGAAATCCGTCGGATTTTTTTTTGTTGTTGTTGAGAAAATGACGCTTAAGTGACCTCACGTCACGCCATTTTCGCCTAAAAAAAAACAGCAAAACTTCAAACGCCGCTAACATCTTCCTTTTTAAGGGAATTAAGACGTAAAAAAAGGTTGTACGTGACTCTACTTTGTATATCAAATGGCTATCTCAGTTTTTTTGAAAACTTTTGATTTTGGCTCAAATTTAAAACAACTGACTTTTTTTGGGAAAATAGTTATAAAATCCAAAGTTTTGAGTGTATAAAAAACGGAATATATGTCAGAGAAATGGTCTATGAGCACCTACATACCAATTTTTAGAAGAATCGGTTCAAAAATGTGGGAGATATTTAAAATTGTATGACGTCACGACTCAAAATTTTTGAAAAATGATTTTTTGGAAAGTTCTAGACCTCGTACGGAAACGAAAATTGCACCATTCGATTTGCCGTGAAAAACTGCATCAGATAGACACCTTTTTAGGTCTTAACAACCAACTTCAAAATTTGACCTAACCTGACCTGACCTTGACCTGACCTTTTTTTACTTTTTTATAAATTAAGCTCGAATGTTTGAATGGACGGATTGACAGAGCCGGAGCCCACGCTAAGCAGAGCCTGTTGCGTAGACCCCGACCCCTACCGTCCGATCGCGCAATTTCGGGTAACGGGAGAATTTAGATGCCAAAGTTTAACGTGCCCTTCAAAGCCGGACACGGCCTGTCCCACTCAACTGACTTCAACTGGCTGCGGCTGCTCCCACCAACCGCAGACCATCCCCGTCAGGAGTCTCAAATATCGAGCGCCGGAGCGTCTCGAACCCGGGCTCTCACTACCGGGAGTCCAATGCTCTACCAACTGAGCTACGGGACAGGCAGGAAAATAGTTCGACCTGAAATTCATCCAGATGTGGTCCATATCACTTACTGAGTGTGCCTATTGAATTATATAAATAAAATGGCCCATAAAACATGTGTCGCACATGCCCTTTTCTATATTTCGTTTTTGGTGACCTGACCTGAGCTTGACCTTGACCAATGACCATTGCATGATATTGTATGCAATGAATATTGTCTTGGTAGCCTAAGAACACGTTTTGGGCAATCAGTCTCAGTCCATTCTTCGGCACCTACGGTGCAAGGCCGATACTGTAAAAACTTGGATTTTGTACCCTTGACCTGACCTTGAGCTGACCTCTGACCTACTTAAGCAAAACAATTGACTCTTAAGATCCGCCTTGTTGAGAACTTTCGATTGCCGTTCTCCCCGTCTTTCTACGACCATCGGTTCGGAAGTTAGCCCTACTGCGCCCCCCCCCCCCCCCAGCAGGGCGCATATGGCTGAATAGCCCAGCGCACACTGGTCGGAAACGCTCCAGCGGCCTTTCTGCAAAAGGTTTTTGCTTCTTGTTCGCAACTAGTGAAACAAACTTCATAAAACTTTGCATACTTTCTCTGTTATATGTAAGCTATCATTTGGATGTCGAGCACTAAATATATGACGTGAAACTGTTAAGTTATGACGTCATAATTGAGTATAATACAGGATCTAGCACCACTACAAGTCAACAAGGGAAATTGGAAGCCGCTATTCGGGCACCGGGAATGGTTTAACCCTCGCCGGCCGAGGGGGGGGGCGGGTGCCGCCCCCCCATAGGGTTTTTTCGCGATAGCTCCGAACACGCTGGCGATAGAGAGCTGAAACTTGGCATACCTGACCTTTGATCCAAGCCGCATCTTTTGACACCAACCGCATTGTTGGGTCAGGTCAGGTCACTGACCTATGACGTCATAAGTGAACGTCTGCACGGTCTTCAGAGTTCAGATGTCGCAACTTCGCAACGCCCTCACTGCCAGAGGAGATGTCACAGGGAAATGAAACTTGCAGGATCTAGTATCCATTATGAGTCTCACAACTTGTATATCTCGGATTTTTCCTTAAGGTCATATGAGGTCAGGTCATTTTCGTGACCTCACCATTACCTATAAGTCAATGGGGAAAAATGAAAACTGCTATTCTGGCGCCGGGAACGATCTCCAACTATCTCAAGCACACTGACTCGTGATTTGATGCACTCCTTGCAAGGTTAGATGCGTCACTTTTGCAATGTTGACCTTGCGTGACGTCATTTATGACGTCATCAAGGTCATATTAGTTTTTCGTCAATAACTCTTGATCAAATTGAGCTAGCGAGTCGAGAAAGCCACCAATGGACTCAGGAAGACCTGCCGAATCGAATGATATGGCGACATGACCCCTTTCGACCAACTTCGTGACCTGGGGGTGCTGACCTGACCTTGACCTGAGGTCAACACCCCAAGTTGACCTGACCCGGACAAAAAGTATATCATTCGACGCGCCTGAGCGAGGCGAACACGATGCTGCCAAAATCGCGGCTCTGCGGCCGTTTTTTGCGAAGTTATTCACCAAAAACTGAACCGTACCCTGGGGCACTTGACCTGACCTCAGAGGTCACCGGTTGACCTAGGACCTTAAAATCGGGTACATATCTCTGCGTCTCGTAACGGCGCACACGCTCGTTTTTTCCGCGACGCGCTAGCTCCACCAGGGGCGAAACGGCGAGGGGGGGTCGTACCCGCCCCCCCCCCTCGGCCGGCGCGTATGTAGAAAACCAATAGGTCCGGCGAGGGTTAATGCACTTCTTGCTAAGTCCGGTGCTTCATTTTAGCATTGTTGACTTTGCGTGACGACAGTTATGACGTCACTGTCGTCAGATCAGATTATAAGCCAATTAGATCTTTTGCTATTTTTTTGCTACGACATTTTTTGCTTATCAGCTCTTTGGCCCCAATTTTTTGCTATTGTATGAGCCGCGTCATATTTGAGAGCAAATATATTTGCTGCCAAATTTCCCTCCACATTGACATGAAGTAAATCCTTCATTACGTCACAGATCCGATCTAAATGACGTCACCCTGAAATATAAAAGTCGAAATATCTCAAAAAGTATATGATGAAAACGCGTAAAACTTGCAGAATTCGTCACTATATCATGAGTAACATTTCCGAATCCTAAACGGCACTTTTTAGAAGGTGGGATAGTCCCTTTAAGCACTTTCAGGCACTCGGTATTTCTCACTTATCACTGATGGGGTCACTGGCGGGCCTACACCATTCTCCAGGAGCGGGCTCTAAGCGGGCTCCTTTGGGTCTTTCCAGTTGACTAGCTATGCCGGGCTCCACGCGCGACTCTACTTCTGAGTTATTCAACTGCAGCTACAATGGTCTCTGAGGAATCCCACCTGTCTATTTTTGGAAGAAAACATTTCATTGATTTTTTTGCAATGATAGGTATTTTGAGAAAGGTATTCTCAAAGCGTCAACTTGATGAATCGATAAAAAATCAACATCTCAGGAGGCACACAGCTGAGTGCTGATACCAATACATACGTATATGCCTATAGGCTATCGGCATGTCTTTTGTGGCATCATATTGGACCTTCCTCCTCCCCCCCCCCCACCGCTCAGCAGCTTTGACTGCCGGGGATCGGGCTGGCCATGAGTCCCCCCCCCCCCACCCTGAAACCGAAAGTCTGGATCCACCCTGATGCCCTCGCTAATCGTTAACTAGAATCAGAGCACACAGATGTCGCGGTTTATATGTATATGCATAGATGTCGCAGCTATAGCGACACATGCAGTGCAAATGGTAGCATAGTTTCCCCTACCAAAGTGGTGGTTTTCTACCACAGACGCTCGTCGAGGTCGAAATTTCCCAATGCGCTTCTGGAGTACCACCGGCATCCTGGTCAGCGTCTGGACGCCTCCGTAACCCCGGCCTTTTGCATACTCGGAAACGAAACGAAACGGGACGAAACGGAGGCCTTCTCTTTCGCCCTTATGGGTTCGCTTTGGAGTTTGGACGAGTTTTTCATCCCGAACATGGACCACACTGATATCATCGGCGCTCCAGTTTTTTAGCCTCAGGCATAACATAACACATTTTTAGCTATTTTAAGACATTTTCGACTGTTTTGAGAGTTCCGTTTAGTCTTACGCCCAAGTGACCGTGAGTTATGTACCCCGAAAAAAAAACACTCTTAGAAAGCTGACAATCCATCCTGAAAAGCTAGCTTATCAACTTCATAACGCCTTGACGTTTTTGATGGCCACTTTGACGCCCCACAGTTTTGGCCACA